CTCTCCTAGATGAATTTTACACCTTCTTTCTCCACAAACTCCCAACACCTCCCCATTCTTCATTTTTAGATGAAGACCTTCCTTCTTATTTACCTGGAAGTAATTAGAAGAGAACTTCCACTTTCTCCCACCACTAATGCTACCAGCATTTGGATCCACATAATCTACCAACAAAGAACTGTATGCATTGTGCCTACGGTGCCTTAAGCCAACATATCCATTTGTGGAGTAGATCCATTCCCTCTTACCTACTCAAGGACTTCACCCCTGCAAGTATGTCTTCTCTCTCTCTTTAGTCATCAATTTTCCCTCACTAATGCATCATTTCCATCAATTTACAAACATGTTATAATGTCTGCCCACCTAAAAATAGAAAGAACTCTCTTCACACCTCATGACCTTCCAGCTACAGCCCCACTACTCTGTTCTCCCTTATAACAATGCTTGAAAGATCATCATTATGACTATCTATATTCACTGTCTTCAATTCCTCTTCTCTCCTTTTCTATTTTTTAAAATTTTTAGAAATTATTTTTTAGAGACAGGGTCTCACCATGTTGCTCCTGGACTCGAATTCCTGAACTCAAGGGGTCCTCCCACCTTAGCCTACTGAATAGGTGGGACTACAGGCATGCACCAATGTGACTGGCTTCATTTTGTCTTAAACCTGCTTGCACCAAAACTGTTCTTGTCAAGGTCACCAATGACCTACACATTGTCAAATCTAATAGTTTATTCTTAGTCCTCATTAGACTATCAACCATCTTTTGGCTTTCAATGACCTTGATTCTTCTAATATTTCATAGGGAACCATTTTCCTTCAGAATTTGGAAGGCAGTGCTACACTGTCTTTTCTGGGAACCTTCTCATTCTCCTCAATTTACACATGTGATACACCAGGGCTTGGACATCAGTTTTCTTTTGTACCTGCATTCATTCTCTGGAACTCTATCTAGTCTCATGGCTTCCTTTTTCTTTTTCTTTCTTAATTTTATTTTTTGTAGAGACAGGGTCTCACTGTGTTGCCCAGGCTGGTCTTAAACCCCTGGCCTCAAGTGATCCTCCCACCTTCGCCTCCCAAATTGCTGGTATAGTAGGCCACACAATACCTGGTCTAGTCTTATGGCTTTAAATAAAAAATTGGCAGTCATCAGCATGTGAATGGTATCTCTATCCCCAATCTCCCTTCTGAACTCCAGACTAATCTATCCAACTGCCTATCCTGTATCTCCACGTGAATATCTATTAGACAATTTAAAATGAACAAGACCAAAAGTGAACTCTATTCTTTCCACAAATCTGCTCTTCTTCCAGTGTTCCCAATATTAATAAATGGCAACTCCATTCTTCCAACAACTGAGGCCAAAAGTGACTAAGCCTTCTGGCATTATTGTTCCTTCAGTCCTTGCTCTTCCTCAGCATTTATTTCTCATAATTCTGTATTACGATTTTTACTGTTTTTGTATATGTACATTTACAGAAGAGCTCTTTGAGGTCAGAGGACTGCCTTATTTATCTGAATCCACAGCACTTAACAGTGTATGTTGAATTTGCATAAAGAGGTAGTGAAATTTAAACTGTTAAATAAGTCCCAAGCAAGAACAGAGACCTCTGCAGAAAAAGATGTTGAAGTAGGAAAGTATATTTCAGCTAGATTTCCATTAGTTCATCAGTACTAGTTCAGATAGGCTAGATTATATCTTGGTATAATATGATATCCAATATAAAATCCCAGTGGCACTTCACTTCTTGCTCACTCTACATACATAGATCACCTGGAAGCTTGCTCTGGGTCCCAGACTGATTGATGGAGTCTGGGACCATCTAGAGCACCAACAGCCACCATGACAGAGGGTAAGAATGGCAAATTATATACCAGAAGCTTTTACCATGAAAGGCTACACATTATTCCTATATACATTTCACTGAACAAAAGCAACTCACAAGGCCATACTCAACTTCAAAGAGGAAGCAAGTACAATTCTATTACATGTTCATGAGACAGAAACCAAAAAATTTGATAGACAGCACTCATGACTATCATAACCTTAAAAACAAGCTTCTAATTCTGAGCAATAATATTTTAACTTCTGATCTCCATTCTCCATCTCTGAAAATTAACTCCCTCGCTAAATGAGAACCATACACTTGCAAAATAATATCTATAGATGGCAGGAATGTAACTTCACCAGTTAGGCCTGCCTCTTTCCTCACACTCAGGAGTCAGAGAGCAGCAAAGAAGCCAAACATGGCACAGGAAAGTACTGAGGCCAAACCTGCCAGAAATCTTCACTGTCAAAAGTGAGGGAAAGGGCCGGGCACTGTGGCTCACGCCTGTAATCCTAGCTCTTGGGAGGCCGAGGCGGGCGGATTGCTCAAGGTCAGGAGTTCAAAACCAGCCTGAGCAAGAGCGAGACCCCATCTCTACTATAAATAGAAAGAAATTAATTGGCCAACTGATATATATACAAAAAATTAGCCGGGCATGGTGGCGCATGCCTGTAGTCCCAGCTACTCGGGAGGCTGAGGCAGAAGGATCACTGGAGCCCAGGAGTTTGAGGTTGCTGTGAGCTAGGCTGACGCCACGGCACTCACTCTAGCCTGGACAACAAAGCGAGACTCTGTCTCAAAAAAAAAAAAGTGAGGGAAAGGCTTGAATAGGCAAGAAAAGCATGTTCAATTAGGTACAGGTGTGGAAAGGAAAGAAACCCTCAGCAAATTTGTTCACCAAAGGTATGGAACAGCCAGACCTTGGAGTCCTTCGCACATTACCCTTTGTCTGAAATCTAACAAGTTTCATTCAAACCACTGGATGGAAGAATTGCAATTTGGGTATAAGGAAAGTTAGCCAGCATACTACCTTTTAACATAAAAACACTACTTTTAAAATGCATATAGACATCTGAGCCTGATTTAATTTTAATAAAGAGAAAATTATTAAAAAATTAAAATAAAAAAATAAAATGCATAAAAAGCACACCACCACTAGAAACAAAAAAGGCAATGGTTAAGAGATGGATTTTGGCCGGGCACGGTGGCTCACGCCTGTAATCCTAGCACTCTGGGAGGCCGAGGTGGACGGATTGCTCAAGGTCAGGAGTTCAAAACCAGCCTGAGCAAGAGCGAGACCCCATCTCTACTATAAATAGAAAGAAATTAATTGGCCAACTGATATATATACAAAAAATTAGCCGGGCATGGTGGCGCATGCCTGTAGTCCCAGCTACTCGGGAGGCTGAGGCAGAAGGATCACTGGAGCCCAGGAGTTTGAGGTTGCTGTGAGCTAGGCTGACGCCATGGCACTCACTCTAGCCTGGACAACAAAGCGAGACTCTGTCTCAAAAAAAAAAAAAAAAAGAGAGAGAGATGGATTTTATGGGAAAAATCATTTTTTTTCCTAAAACTCTCAAAAGACATAAATCAAGACTCCTAAGCTCAAGATGATCTGGGATAAACCCCAAGTCTGCATAGAGCCTAGACTTAACGGATTGCTGCTCCAAGTTCTAAAGTATCCTGTGCAATTTCTATACAAAGTTCAAACATTTTCTGTTTCAGACAGTGAAAACTGGCAGAAACACTGGGAAGGACTGGAGATGGTTACCATAAGCAGTTAAACACTTAGGACCGTAAAGCTCACAAGGAATTACGTTGAAGGGCAGAGCAGGAGTTCAAATAATGTAACCTGCCAAATTAGAAGCAAATTAGGATTCCTAAATGCAAAAGGTTTCATTAGTATATAGCCCCACCTTCCCTATCCCTTATGCATTCAACAATTATTAGTTGCTAAGGTGTGGGAAGGAATGCAGGAAAGTAACAGAGAAATAAGGTTCTAAGAATTCATTCATGGTCTCCATGAAGTTGGTCTAGTTAAACAACCCCAAAAAAGACTGACAAGCAGAAAATTAAAACACAGTGCCTTAAATACCATAACAATACTATAGGAAAAGCCATTCTAACATATAAGTTGACAACATCCTTTCAAGGGAACAATACCATATTTGCTTTGTTAAGTGGCTGGAGAAAAGAAAAAGCAAACAAAAACAATCTCTCTTCCGGTTTAATGACAGTTCGGTACCAAAGCTCCCTCGCTCTCCCACCCTCTCAAAGGTTTCTACTGCAACCCTTCCATCATTGCAACCTCCACACTCTGCTCGCGGGCCCCATACCAGCTCCATTACAAACAATGCCCAGACTACCAAGGTCAGCACCAAAGGCAAAGGGAGCAGAAATCAGAAACGAATCTTCCTAAATCAGAAGCCTCCCCCCCAAACCAAGTCTCTGCCTCTAGGCTCAGGGGACTGGGGGCTGCCGCTTTCGGGGGTTCTAAACCTCTTTCTCCTCTTCATCCGGTTAGTTTTCCTTCCTGCGCCCCCACTGACTTCGTCTCCCCGCAACCTGAGCTCCCCATTGTGGAGCGAGAGAGCGTCATGATGCAGGCTGGGGCAGGGGGGTGGCGCAGAGGGGAGATGCTGTCAGTTGCGTGTATGTAGGGGGCAGGGGGGTGCTCATTAAAGAAGCCTCAGTAAAGGGCAAAGGCTCTACAGACCTACAGTAGGGAGCTTTATAAGTAAGCCGTTGCTGAGGAAAACCCATTTGAGCTTCTACATAAGGGAGCTATTGTGTGGCGGGCGGGGGGCGTCTACAAGTAGCCGTTTCTGGGGGAAACATTGCATGGGGAAGACAAGCGAATTACTCCAACGGAAGTCGCGGAGGGATTCTCTATAGGGGAATCTTTCCTTGGGGAGACGTTCTGTGGGGTGGGAATGTCATAATACGGAGTCGTCACAGGGAACCGTTGTGGGGTTGTCTATAGGGGAGCCATTGTGAAGCCTCTGCAGAGGGCGCCGTTCCTGGGAAAATGTTCCTCCAGGAGCCGTTTAGGAAAGAACTGTCCTCGAGGAAGCCATGTCGGGCCACGCCCTGCGGCGGGAGGCGTCGCCTGACCCCAACCACCCGCATCCCCCACCCGGCCGCCCCTCAGCGGCCACAGCCCCGCGTACCTGACGGAGGGGGACCCGCGGCTGGAGCCTCCGGGGGCGCGCGCCCGGGGCAGCCCCAGCCTGCGCGGGGGGTACACGTCCATGGCGGCGGGCGGCGGAGCAGGACCGTGCGGCTGCGAGGGTCGCTCAGGCCCGCCGGGCGGCTCCAGGCCCGCAGCGGCCGGGCGGCGCGGCGGGGCGTGCCGGGTGGGAGGGGGCGCGGCGCGCGGGGGCACGTCGGGGCCGGGGGCGGGGCCGGACGCGCGCAAGGAGCGCGGATGGGGGTCGGGGCCGGCTCGGAGGTCGGGGGCTGGCCCACGGCCGCAGAGCTGCGCCTTCCTTCGATGCGAGGTGGCCGGGCTGGACGTTGGGAGCGCGGGTCCCGGGGGGAGAGTTAATACGGCGCCGCTCTGCCCTGTCCTCAGGCGCCGCATCACGCAGTGGGACTCCGCGCGGCGCCCCCCAGCCACGCACTCGGGCGCGCCCGGAGGCGGGGCCTGGCTCCAGCCCTGCCCCGCCCCGCCGGCTCCGGCCTCCTGCAAAGGCTTCCGCCGCTGCAGCTGGATCGGGGCTCCTCCCCCGCTCCCGGTCTCCGGGGCGAGTGCTCGCTGCTGTTTCCTCACCTCCTGTTCACCAATCGTGCATTCGCCCTTCAGACATTCAGCCGAGTACTAGCAGGCCTCCGGTTAGCAGTGCGCACCCAGCCCTGCGCAGGGCATGGGCGTTAGAGGCTTACAGGATCCCAGAGGACCCTTGCCCTTTACTGTTCAGGTCCTGGTTCGACCCGTTTCCGACTGTGGGGCCATGGACAAGAAACTTAATGGCACCAAGCCTCAGTCTTTTCGTGTGTAAAATGGGAGAAATACTTCACTGATAGATTGCCAGGCGTCCTCTATATGCACAGAACGTATTTAGTGATTTTATCCTGCATCCTGTATTGACCTTGTCAAGGTGCCTTAAAATGTCCTGTATTCGTCCTATTTTTCCTTCTTTCGTCTTTTCTTTCTTTCTCTCTTTCTTTCTTTCTTGGCTTGCTCTATTGCCCGGGATAGAGTGCCCTGGCGTCAGCCTACCTCACAGCAACCTCAAACTGCTGGTTTTATGCAATCCTTCTGCCTCAGCCTCGCGAGTAGCTGGGACTACAGGCATGTGCCACCATGCCCGGCTAATTTTTTCTATATATTTTTAGTTGGCCAATGAAATTCTTTCTATTTTTAGTAGAGATGGGGGTCTCACTCTGCTCAGGCTGGTCTTGAACTCCTGACCTTGAGTGATCCTCCCGAATCTGCCTCCCAGGGTGCTAGGATTATAGGCGTGAGCCACCACACCCAGCCTGAATTCATCCTTTTTTTTTTTTTTTTTTCAATATCCAGGGTCTCTCTTACCCAGGCTGGAGTGCAGTGGTGCTCACTGCAGCCTCCAACTCCTGGGCTCAAGCAATCCTCCTGCCTCAGCCTCAGGAGTAGCTAGGACTGCAGGCATGCCACACCATGCCCAACCAATTTTTCTTATTTTTTAATAGACGTGCTTTGACTGTTTTGCCCAGGCTGGTCTAGAACTCCTCGCCTCAGCCAGTCCTCCTGCCTTGGCCTCCCAAAGTGCTGGGATTAAAAGCATGAGCCACTGTGTCTGGTCCTGTATTCATCTTTTTACAATAAATTACAAATAATAATTAGAACTATTTTTCTGCCACAGTCATTGGTGCTTAAATCACTTAAATGACAACACTAGCTGAAAAATCCTACCTCCACAAATAAATATCTGGACAATCCCTATGGTGTCTCCTGTAGGTTTAGCTGAAGAAAGACTAAAAGAAGGGAGTAGGGATTTATTTATTTTTTTATTTTTTTGAGACAGAGTCTTGCTTTGTTGCCCAGGCCAGAGTGAGTGCGGTGGCATCAGCCTAGCTCACAGCAACCTCAAACTCCTGGGCTCAAGCAATCCTACTGTCTCAGCCTCCTGAGTAGCTAGGACTACAGACATGCGCCACCATGCCCAGCTAATTTTTTTGTATATATATATTAGTTGTCCTATTAATTTCTTTCTGTTTATACTAGAGACGGGGTCTCGCTCTTGCTCAGGCTGGTTTCAAACTCCTGACCTCGAGCAGTCTGCCCACCTCGGCCTCCCAGAGTGCTAGGATTACAGGTGTGAGCCACCGCGCCCGGCCGGGAGTAGGGATTTAAAGTACTTGTTTTTTATATTCAAGAAAGGAAAATACTTTTTGGCTGAAGTTCCAAGTTTTGAACAAGTAATTATTTGGAGCTATAATAATTTCTCATCGGTATACATGCTCTGAAAATCAGTCAGTCAGTGACACCCTCACTCCCAGAAGCTTAAGCTTTTGAAAAGCAGCCAGTCAACATCAACTTCACTCTGGTAACTATATTTCTGAAAGTTAGTAAATCAATGACAGCCCCAACTTCTGAAAGTTAGCCAAACACTGTCACCTCTATGCTTCTAGACAATAGCCAGTCAACCACTGACCAGGCTTCTGAAACTCAGCCAGTACTCAGCTGCTATACCACCCTAACACAACTGAGAGTCTGTCAATTGCTAAACATTCCTGCTTTTGAAAGACCACCAATCCCTGAACGCCAGGCTTCCCAAAACCTTGTATAAGGTCAGCTCTGGCTTTGTTCATAAAGGCTGTGCCTTACAAGCATAGCTCTCCCATGTAAACAAAAAAGAAATTCACCTTTTTTTTTTTTTTTGCATTAGATAATTGAGTTCAATGTATTGTTTTTCCCACATAGACATTCACAATTCTTTCTAGATTCAATTGCCATTTACCATTAGCTATGCATTTGGACTTGTGACACATGCAATGACAAAGCTATGAGATTTATCAAATACAACTTTTTCAATTCAATGCTATGCTTCCTATTATAAATTTTTGTTTTTATTTTATTTTATTTTTTATTTTTTGAGACAGAGTCTCACTCTGTTGCCTGGGCTAGAGTGCTGTGGCATTAGCCTAGCTCACAGCAACCTCAAACTCCTGGGCTCAAGCAATCCTTCTGCCTCAACCTCCCAAGTAGCTGGGACTACAGGCACTCACCATCATGCCCAGCTAATTTTTTTCTATATATTTTTAGGTAGCCAATTAATTTCTTTCTATTTTTAGTAGAAATGGGGTCTTGTTCTTGCTCAGTCTGGTTTCGAACTCCTGAGCTTGAGTGATCCTCCCACCTCAGCCTCCCACAGTGCTAGGATTACAGGCGTGAGCCACCTCGCCCGGCTGCTATTATCAATTTTTAAAAACACTCAATATGTATATGCACAACTGCAACCATCACCACAATCAATTTTAGAACATATTTTAATCACCCTAGTAAGAAACCCTGTACCTATCAGTAGTCATTCCCCATTTCTCTCTAACCACTTCAGCCCTAGACAACTACTAATCCTTCTCTCTATGAATTTGCCTATTCTGAACGTTTCATATAGTTGGAATCATATGACATGTGGTCTTTTGTGACTGGCTTCTTCCGTTTAGCATAATTTTATAAGGTTTATCCATGTGGTAGCATGTATCTGAATTTTGTTCCTTTTCATGATTGAATAATATTCCATTGTATGGATATAGCACATCTTGCTTATTCATTTATCAGTTAATGGACATTCAGGTTTTTTCTATTTTTTTGTTATATTTTTTAACTAATGCTGTTGTGAACCTTTGTGTACAAGTTTTTGTGTGGACATATGTTTTCAGTTCTCTTGGGTATAAACCTAGGAATAGAATGCTGGATCCTATGGTAACTATGTTTAACTTTTTGAGGAACTGCCAAACTGTTTTGCGAATTGACTGCACCATTTAAATTTGCACCAGAAACTATACCAGTTCCAATTTCTCCACATCCTCCCCAACACTTACTATCTTTTTGATTATAGCTGTCTTGGTGAGTATGAAGTGGGATCTCATGGTGGTTTGGGTTTGCATTTCTCTAATAGCTAACGATGTAGAACATCTTTCCATGTGCTTATCAGCCATTTGTATATCTTCTTTGGAGAAACACCTGTTCAGATTTTTTGCCCATTTTTTAATTGGGTTATTTGTCCTCTTAAGTTGTAAAGGCTCATTGTATATCAGATATATGATTTGAAAAAGTATTCTCTCATTCTGTGGGTTGTCTTTTTACATTCTTGATAGAGTCCTTTGAAGCACAAACATTTAAATTTTGATGATAGCCAATTTATTTTTTTATTTTGTTATTTATGCTTTAGGTGTCATAACTAAGAAACCATCACCTATCTCTGGAAGGCTTGTGTGACTAAAAAAAAATAAAAAAATAAAAAAATAAAAAAAAAAAGAAACCATCACCTAATCCAAGGTCATGAGGACATCTGCTGTTTTCTTTTAAGAGTTTAATAGTTTTGGCTCTTATATTTTAAGTCTTTGATCCATTTTGAGTTATTTTTGTATTAATATACTATGTGAGGTAGGGTTCTAATTTCATTCTTTTATTCATGTGGCCATCCAGTTGTATCTGCATCATTTGTTGAGTAGATGAGTCTTTCCCATTGATTTGTCTTGATACTATTGTTGAAAATCAATTGTTATCTATTTTTTATTTGTGTATATTTGATCCCCCAAATGCCACCATGCAAGAGTGAATTTCATGATGAATTTTCTGAACTACACACATTTATTAAATGAGGTAAAAGTCCATTTGCAGCTCTTTGGTATGCAGATGTTCATTCAATATTGAAAATGGTGGAAAGTTAGATATAAATCAGTATATACTAACAGCTAAGCATAAAAGGTATGTGATTTCTTCAACAGGTACTAGAGGAAGTGATAACATATTTTTAGTCAGGCACAGGGACTCATGCCTGTAATCCCAGCACTTTGGAAACCTGAGGTGAGAGGATCATTTAAAGCTAAGAGTTCAAGACCAGCCTGAGAAACACAGCAAGACCCTATCTCTACAAAAAAAAAAAATTTTTTTTTTTAATTAGCCATGCTTGATGGTGTGTGCCTGTAGTCCCAGCTACTTAGGAGGCTAAAGCCAGAGGCTCACTTGAGCCCAGGATTTCGAGGCTACAGTGAGCTATGATCATGCCCCTGCACCTCAGCCTGGGCAACAGAGTAAAACTCTGTCTCTTAAAAAAACAAAATGAAGTGATAAGATAACACATTTTTAATAAAGAGAGATTCGGATGAAGAAGATGAAATAATCACAGCAGAAGTTG